AAAAAAAAAAAAAAAAGTAAAGCAATGGTGGCTCTTATACACTGCTGCTAGGTGTTTCATTTTTTTTTCAAATGTTTGTTTATTTTTGAGAGAGAGAAAGAGCATGAGCATGACAGGGGTAGAGAGAGAAGGAGACACAGAATCCAAAGCAGGCTCCAGCACAGAGCCTGATGTGGGGCTCGAACTTACGAGCCATGCGATCATGACCTGAGCAGAAGTAAAGGCTTAACCAACTGAGCCACTCAAGTACCCCACTGTGACTAGGAGTTTAAATTGGTAAAATCCTGCTGGTAGGTGTTAAAATTGGTACAATCACTGGAAAACAATTTGGCATTATCATATAAAGTTGAACATTTGCATATCCTTCAATGAACAATTCTAGATATATAATACGAAAATTTTTTACCTGTGTGCCAAGTGTAAACATACTTCAAAATAACAACAAAAAAACCTGATACTCAAATGTCCACTGGTAGAAAAATGGTTAAGTTAATTAGGCTAACTCAAATAATGGAACATTATACAGCAATGAGAATGAATGCACTACAGTTGCAGGCAACAACATTGAATGGGTCTTAGAAACTAATAGTGAATGAAAAAAAAAATACAAATGGAGTTCTGAGCCTCACTCAGTCCCACCTTTAAGATTTAACACTCTCCACTGAGGTCATCTTCCTCTTACTCAGTCCCACGTCTAAGATTTAACATTCTAAACTGAGGTCATCAAGAAATACTTTCAACTCTTAAACACAAAGAAAAAAGAAATGAATTCTTTTGGCAGCCATCATGACTTCATCTTTTGCTATGCAATTCCTTTGAAAATGCCACACTTCCATGATTGAAAAAGAAATCCAAAAACATGGTGGCATTGTGGATTCTGAGTTTCAAATGCTTATACAATCAACAAACTGAATGAAGCCCATTAAAGAACTGCTAAGGTCCAAAGGCAATCAAATGACAAACTGTCACTCTTCCAAGGAGTACACTATGAATCTAATGGAAACATTTCTGCACAAACTAAAGAAACTAATATGTGAGAATACTTCTGCTATATTTCTGTCCTCTGGATAAGGCACTTCATTTTGTATATGGTGAGGCAATAAGCACAGCCCAAAAGTAAGTCTCCATGATTATTTAATTATAAATATGAATGGGCACACTGAAATTTTTCTATGTATTCTTTTATGATACTTGAATATTTTCTCTGGAACGTATAAAGATTTGTAAATTAGGTTTTCCTCTATACTAAAATGCCTTTTGTGCAAGGTTTACAAAGGCTATGAAAAGAACATTTATTATACTCAAAACAAAAAAAAAATACATTTGTGGTAATGCAACTAAGGAAAAGAAGAGATAAAAAAATTGGAATAAAAAAAAATTCAGAACAGCAGTTACTTCAAGGATCGGAGAAAGACAGGACCATGCAGTTACAGATGTGCTCACAGGTAGCTCTTTAACTGTGTAGGTACTGACCTACTTCTTAAGTGGTTGGTTCCCAAATGTTTGTTTTTATTATTAACTTCCATATATTACATATAATCTGGCATGTTAAAATTACAGAACTTCTAAAAATTTAAAGAATGCATGGAAGGCAAGAAAGCAGGTAAAGTGTAGATCACTAATCCATCAAGTATGATGTCTATAGCCTGCGAGGGAAAAAAAAGGGAAAGGCATAGCTGTCACAGATGATGTGATTAGTCTTCCAAGAAAAAGACACTTCTTCCTCTGAACAATGGATGAGGGATCTAAGGAAAGGTGAAGATGTTAATTCATTTGGAAGCAGATTAAAAGAAAATTGAGGGACTTTATTAGTCAATTAGATAGAAAGGTAACTGCAGAGCAAAAAAGATAAACAGGCATAGGGTTTGTTATTTTGAGTACATGCTTCTGGTAATCAGTAACTGCAAAACATGACAGAAATGGTTCAAAAATGGTACCATTTTGCCTTAAAAGGAACACAGCAAATAAAATGATCAATTTCAACATACGATTAGTTCCCACACTTAACAACATAAAGTTGTATGACACTTAAAATACAATGCACTGCTATATATATTCTTTAATCCGGTATTACAATAACGTTGTATGAGTAGGGGGGGATACTAGTCTCATCTTACGGATGAGGAAATTGTGCCTCAAAAGTGTTAAAAGTCTACAATCATATTTTGTTATGACAATATAGGTCTAGATCAGTATAAGTAACTGTCAATATGTGGAGTTAAGAGTGTTAAAATATAGTCTTACTCAAAAAAGAAGTTGCTAATCACTTACTATGTACCAGGAGCTGTGCTAGACACTGGGGATATAAAGATGAGTAAGACAGGATTCCTTCTTTCAAGGAGCTCATAGTCTAGTGAGGAGACAAACCTGTAAACAAATAAATACCTTTCAGTGTTACAGTTACTAAAATAGATGCAAAATGTAAAGTAGAACATCTGGGGCACACAAGAAAAAGTGGATAATCCAAACTATTAGAATCAGGAGACAGTTCACAGAGAAGGTATCTTTGAATGAACTGTGTCTTCCTTTGAATGAACTGTTTCTTGAAGTATAATTCTCCAAGAGAAAATTACAGAAATTATGGTGCATTCAGAGAACTATTAGAATGGCTGGAGAATGGAAGGTAGGGATAGTGTCAAGTGATAAGGTTAACAGGCAAACTGAGTAATCTAAACTGCACAGGATCCTATGGAATAGTTTACATGGTATTCAAAATATACCAAGCGTAGTAGTTTAAAGTTTACCATAAAGGTAACTGATAAGACACCAAAGGGTTTCAATAACAAGAATCACATTTGAGGGGAATAACTCTGGCAGCAGCAGGGTTAGATCTAAAATATTGAGTTTATCTGAATCAGAGCACTGGGAGTGGCGGTGGGTGGGGTGGGAGGAGGGGGGGGACGCAGGCTATATATAAGATCTTTAACCAGATGGTTATGGGATAGCTGAGGGTTACAAAGGATTCTGAACTACCAAAACTTCCCATTTCACTATCTGGGTGGATGAGGGTGCCATAACCAGGATAAGGATAAGAAGAACAAATTGTGGGAGACAATGCAGTACAAAGCTTAAGAGCCAATTCCACAGTCATACTATTTTGATTTCATTTCCAATTCTACCACTTAACATCTGTGTGGCCAGTTGTGGCAAAAGGCAAAAACAAAACTTTGAGTTTGTTAACAAATTTTTGAGCAAACTGGTTATTCATCCAAATGAATTTAGGTTACAACTTATACCCAGAGGATATGGCCAATTATATGGAAGCTGATTATGTCCAGCTCAATCCTTTAAAAATGCCACGGAATTGTAGAAGAGTTCATTATTATTCGACTGCAAAGAAGAGTCCAGAATGTAGATAACGAACTATGCTTCCAGTCCTCCAAGGTTATTGGTCTATCAAATCCTCACTTAGAAGATATATCTCAATTGCCTGCTTACTTCAAGATGTCATCCTTAAGTCAGAAGCAACTGACTTAGAAAGCAACTTTTAAGAAAAAAGAACAACAAATCTGATCCATTTTGCATGCTAAACACAGCATCAAGGCTTGGAAAAGCCAGAAAACTGTCACATATCTATCTACCTGAATCAATTAATAAACGCGCTTACGTACTACCTAGTCTGCAAAGCGGGCATGGCAAGAACACAAAAACTGTAGAAGACAAAGTTCCAGTGAATACTTAGCCTAGTTTTGAAGACAATATTAACACATAGTAAACACTTCAGTAACAAGATAGGATGGTACATAATCAGATGCCAGAGATGTTTCATCTAATGAATGTGGAACTTGGAAGGTTAGAAAGCCTGTATTCAGGCAAAGCTATTATATCAACCGCACAAAATCTAAAACTCACTGGAAGTGGCAAAGATATAGATGAAAAAAACACCTTCCCTGCCCCTAAAATATCCAAGATTTAGCAACTCTAAAGCAGAAATAAGTATTTCATAAAAGCATAAGCTACAAAATAGAAGATTTAATTTTAAATAATACAAGAATGTTACTTCTACATAAGGATCATTCATAAAAAGATATTATTGGTCATTTCAATGAATTTATAAAATGGGAGAGAGTAAATAAGAAAGTGACTCATACTGACTTTCCAGGACCATCCAGTGTTTAGTTCTGCTCCCTGGGAAACCTCTTGCTTTGGGACACACTGGGGTGGGTATTTGGTAACCTTAGTAAAAAGTATAATGGTTCTGTGTAGGCAGCTTTTTTGATGTACCTCAAAGAGATTGTTCTTACAGAATCCTGTTACAATAAAGCACAATCCCATTAAATTTTATATTTCTGTATGGCCTAAATAATTAGAAGGGAAAAATCAACTTTACAGGGACAACTCATCAGTGGGCTTCAATGCCACTGGGACTACATGTTGGGCAAAGGGTAGAGGAAGGAGCAAGAAGCTTTCTTGATACCCAGTGCCTTTTAGCCCTCAGAATTGTTTAGTTTCACTAAACTCCAAATAACTGCCCCTGTGGTCTCGTAAGGATCCAAAAGCATTTAAAGGCATTTTCAAGTTCCTATTCAGGCCCACAGTTCTTCCCCATACTACACCATCATCCCCACTCCTGTCTCAACATCTATGCCAACAACACCTTGGCCTTGTATCCCACAAGTCGATCTCATTCCACTGACCAGCAGGGCTGACCCCATAGCTGTACCACTGCATGCTCCCTCTACAATCTGTCCACTTAATCTGCCTCCAGTCCCTCCAGCTCCCCTTCTTCCCACCAGTGCCTAGTGGCAATATTATGATAGGGAAAAGACAGGATAAAATAGGCAGCGAGGGAAAGATGAGGACCTGACATCCCTGGGTGGGGAAAAACACATTTTTTGGAACAATGCTGGGAATGTCGGACTACAGCAAACCCCCTCAGGCGTAAGGTCCTTCTTAAGAATATAACAGACACCACCTACTCCCCCTCAGGTTTTCCTCAGAAATTTGACAAAAGACCTGACTAAAAATAAGTGGACCATAAAACCTATGACCAACAAGGAATGGTATGGCCATAGACCACCCCT